GCAATTTGCTTAAATTACGTAAGTAGCAGCACTAGAGATGGATAGTATGGCCATGTATGATAATTACCCAAATGAAATATTAAGCACATGCCTAGTTAGAGAAATAATGCAAGGAAGATAAAGCAATCCAAGTTAAATTAGGACCTAAGAAATGTACAACACAACACACAATATAAAAGAAACAGCAGCATTCAGTTAACTCAGCAAGTTAAGATAGAATCACAAGTTTCAATGATTTTTTATATACCTAAAGGTGCCCCAAAGGCATCTGGTGGCAATGGATCAAACTCTACTCCTAGAATTGGTCCATCTTCCCTCAACGGCTCCCCTAGCTGCGCTTCAACACAAGCAATTGCTCTATGCTCCATCATGGTGCGTGGGGACTCGTAATAACCGGGCACACCCCGGGGAACCATGTTCAGGGGCTCCACTCGGCCATAAGGGCTAGACCCTGAACCGGACCCAGATCCATACTCATTACCAAGCTCCGGAGGACCCAACATGGGGTCATCTGTTGGTGATTCCACCAAAGGCTCCGCCACCACCTTCCGTGGCAGCTTCTTGGAAGGCAAGTCCTTCTTGTCCTTCAACCTCCTATGGCAGAACCACATCTGAAGCTGTCGATCCGACAAACCCAATTTCTCTGAAAGCTCTCCCCTCATCGTCTCCGACGGGTAATTATCCACTAATCAAACCAAAAAAATTCACAAAATTATTTCCCACAGCCTCACCAAAAAAGAAAACCCTCCAATTCAAAATTACTGCAAAACACAGAACAAAACAAAAGCACAAGAAAAATGAAAATTTGCTAAATTCAAGAAACAAGGGGAGTGCAAGGAATGAACCAGCATAAGCCTTCTCGAGGGTTTCAAGTTGAAAAGGGGTTTTCATCTGGCGCTTGGGCTTGCTCTGCCCCTCATTAGAATTCGCAATCTTGCTACCGCTTCCGTGATTATTGTTGTTGTTATTCTCATTGCTATCATCATCTGTGCCACCCCTTTTCCGATTATTCTCTCCCTCAGAACAAGCGTCTCCCTCCATCGACAAAAACCAATCAAAGATCGATATTTTCCTATCCCCGCTTCACAAAACCCCAGAAATTGCAGAACCCCTAAAGAACAAGAAACAGAAACAGAAATTAGGGCTCCCCAGGAGAACGAACTTCCGTTGTTCCCTCCAATTCTTTATTCCTTTCTCCCTCTTGAGATCAAACCCCAATTTCGTAATGATGAAGGAATGGAAGGCAGAAGGGATGAAAACAATAACAACAATAAATAAAGGGTAAAATATAACAGTTGTGTGCAATGTGAGGATTGAAAAGATAGAACAACGAAGAAGAATAAAAGAAGCAAGGATAAAAAAACAATAGAAAGATAAGAATATTAATAATCGAAAATCAAAAATAATAAACCAACAACAACAACAGTTGCTCTTGACTGCTACTCCTACTATAATTCCACCACCACCTCCACCTTTCATAATAATTCCCTTTTTAATTTTTTTCTTCTTCGAATAATAATCCGTTTTCTTTTTATTTTTTTGGGTTCTCTTTTTTATGAACGAACGGTGTCAGAGTGAGTGTGAGTTTGTTGTTCCTGTCAAATGTCAAACAGGACTTTAACGAACATTAACACGCCAAAGATTAGAAAATATGCTTTTCTTTATCTTTTGTTTACATTCCTAATATTTCTTATCTCTTGTCTATTATCTCTTCCAATTTTTATTTTCTTTTGTTTACGTAAGATTAGATTTGTAACTAAATTTTTATGGGCTTTTTTTTTTTGTTTCATTTTTGCTAAAACTAAAACTTTCTAAGATGAAAATACATTTAATGTTTTCTCTGAGTCTTGCATGTGTATACCGTTAAATTTGATGAACATTTTTTCGGAGGTTCTTGTCTGGGATTTTCTATTTTCTTATTTTTAAATTTTAAATTTTTGCTTGTTTTTATTATTTTCTTGCTAAATTGTAAATTGTGGTGTGTACGGTGTTTGGGTTTGAAGGAGAGAGAGAGAGAGAAAGGGAGTGAGAGGAAAAGAAATGAATTGCTTGTGACTCTGCTTGAGATTGATTGGTTCTTTAAACTTGTTTTTTTGGTTTTCGGGGTTCGGTTTCGTTGATTTTCAGTGATTTGGGATCTCTTGATGTTTCACGTTTATGTTTCTGTGGGGTCCCCTTTCTTGACTCGGCCACCAATGTACTAATTGGGCCTCTTTTTGGGCCTCCCTTGTGCATTGGGGACCCAATGAAAATAATTTATTAAAGTGTTTTTGTTTATTTACAATATAAATAATATAATATATTTTGTTATAATATATTACTATTTTATTTTATTCAAAATTTACCACATGCTAAAAATTATTTAATATTCTTATTAATTCAAATCAATTTAAACATACCTGTTTAAAGGGGTAATATTTTCCATTTGTACTTATTTTTAGAAAAAAAATACTTTTTATTAAAAAGACATATATATTCCTTTTTTATGTGTTTGACTAATATGTTTATTTTTACAAATACTTAATTATTTTTAGTCTCTAATATTTAGAATAATTTTATTTTTGTCCGGTAAATTAAAAAATATTATGTAAATTCTCAAAATTGAACAGAAAATATTATAGCCCTAATTTGATAGACTACAATAATTTTTTTTAAACTATTTATAATCTTTCATATTTAGTATTTTTAAACTAAAGTTATACTTTACTAATTTTTCAGGGATTAATTTTGTTCATTTGATTGGTTAAAAAGTATTTATTCCAAAAAAACAAATAGACCTTTAAAAAAATTAGTTTAGACAAACTTACTCATTATTTATTATTAATATTTTTGTTGCCGAAATTCAAACTAAAATTCCTCTTGTTATAGAAGCTTCTTATTACTTGGATTAACAAATATAGTTTCATCCTTAATTATTAATTAATATGTTGTATTTAGGTATATGTTTCATTCATTTAAAATATATTTTATTATGCACAAATATTGACTTAAGCCTAATATTTGGTATGATTATTCTTAGTTTATAATTTGTTTGTTTGTCCACGTCAAAACATGCACATTTTTAATACGATGAATAAGTTTTGTCAATAATTTTAACTCACTTAACTATAATTTTGAATTAAGTACTTTTTTACATTTCATCACCACTAAAGATAATGCAGTTACTTCTCTTAAAAAATATTGTTTTATTATCTTTTTATTTAAATTATACATTCAAATATTTTTATTATCTTTTAGAATAAAAAAATATATTATCATTAAATCAAGATTATTGTTTTATTATATTTTTATTTAAATGAGATATTAAAATATTGTTTTATTACAATTTTTATTTAAATTAGATATTAAAATGTTTTTATTATCTTTTAGAATAAAAAAATATATTATCATTAAATCAAGATTATTATTTTATTATCTTTTTATTTAAATTAGATATTAAATTATTTTTATTATCTTTTAGAATAAAAAAAATACTATTATTTTGAATTAAGTAATTAAGATTGAAATATTATTAATATTGATATTTTTGAATAATTAAGTTTAAAATATCATCATGGTAGAGATCGAAGATCAAGATTATCAACAAAGAAGCTTTTATATAATAAGATGTGTTAAAACAGTATTTTTATCGAGCCACCGCTGAATAAAAACTTAATTACTGTTTTAATTTGTTTTTTCAAACTATCATTTTAGACATTGAACTCACTCAAAAAATAAAATTAAGAAAGATTGTTACAAACTACAATACTCGAATAAATTTTAAAAGATTTACCAATAATTAGTTAATTAAATTATTTTCTTCATAAATATAAATATTTTATATATAAGTCTTTAAAAACATAGTTGTTAAAAAACGAACATCTATCTTTATGGGAAAAAAAATCATCATTTTACATTATATTACATTTAAATATATTTCACTGACTAACTTCTTAGATAAGATAATATAGAGTAGTATATTTTTAATTTTGCACAACAATTGATTTGTTTTTATTTTTTGGTATCTTTTATATTTTGATGATGGTGTATCCTGATATTTTGCAATAAAGACTCTTTATATAAATGGTAAAATACAACATAAAAAATTATAAAAAAATGTATTAAATAACATTTATGGTTATAAATGCAATTCCCTCTGCTCTACCTTCAGTCACTTTTTCTCCTCTGGTCTAGCTACACACAGTGACTAAAATGTGACTTCTTGCTTGAGGTTCACTGCTTCTTCTAACATTCTAATCTTGATGACACTCTAATCCTTGGTAACCCAAGAATTCAGCTTATTTCTCAACTCCATTGTCAATTTGATCTAGAGGGTCTTGGTTTTCCTTCATTACTTTTTGGGCCCTTACTGTGTCAAGTCTAAATATATTCATGATCTCCTTTAATAAGTTCAAATGGCTATCTCCATGCAACCCCTATGGTAATTGTTGATCTTTAGCTATCTATCTACTCCTGCATTCTTTCAAGCACATCATCGGAAAGCAATCAAGTTAATCTTACGCTGTCTGCCATTCATTTTGTAAGTTGTTTCACTTATTATAACATCTGTCTACATAAAGCTTGGTACACCATTGTATTCAATTAAAGCAATCAGAATAATATTTCCCTCAAATTCATTCTCTAAATTATTTTCTTCTTTTGCATGACCTGATACTTCTTCGACTACCTCAAGACTAGAGTTTTCGACATGACCATTGACCCACTTGCATTTCATTGCATACTATTTTTTCAGCTTTCATAATAGTTTCAATAGCTCTTTATGGGAATCAAGGGTACATCATTTTTCAGTCAAGACGAGAAGGCTGCAAATCAGCAGCAAGACATTGTCTTCTGAATGGAGAGAAAAAGAAAAAGGAAAATATTTAACAAAATGGAAGAAGGAAAAATAAAAACGCGCTATCACAAGGATAGTACAATACTGAATCAGTCACTCAATTATTTTGAAGGAAATTTGGCGTGATTTACAGTGCAGAACCTCGTCCAGGTTGACGACTTTCTTCTTACGCTGCTTTCGCTTGCTGACAAGGAAACCAAAAGAAATAATTGTGTCAATTAAATATAATACTCTTTCAAACACATTCTTTACTATCAGTTGAATACTATTAGAAAATCAAATAATTGTATAGGTTTTACTCTCAATTTATTGAACTTCTACCCATAGTTATTCAGTTTCTAACATTTTAAAACTACATACAATGGTGACTTATAGTGCATCTATGTAGAAAGTGGTTTAAACTTGCACATGAACAATAACTTTTCAAGTTTCAACCAATTTACTGAGGTACAAATAAATTGAAAAGAGACTCACTCGCTTCTCTTCCTCCATCCTGGCTTTGATGAGAGAGTAGAGTGCCACTCCAGCAATTGCAATGGCTGTTCCTATACCAGTTTGGGTGCTAATCTTGTTACCTGTGCGAAAGCAATAAGCCAGTCAGAAATATGTTTAGATTCTCATGAAGATGAGTTTCTCTTCAAGGGCAAGGAATAAATAAACACTCGTGAAGGAAGATAACGATATTTACCGAAGACAATAATTGAAAATCCAATCACAAATACACGTTTCAGTACGTTCCCAACTGCATGAGTGAGAGGAGCCACTCTCTCCAGTGTGTTGGTAGCCACCTGGTGATGAAAAATGTAGATGTGTATCATTTCCAATTCAGAAAAAAAAAAAAAGGGTATGAATTTAATTGGAATACTTAGAAAGTTTGTCATCCTATCGTGAATTAATATCAGAAAGGGAAGGATTTACCTGGTTGTAGAGATGGTAAAACATACCAACCCAGAAGAGATCTGAGACGAACTTGACCAAACCTACTTTAGCAATAGCATCATTGAAGCCGTGCTTCAACAGAGTAGGCCCTTCCACCTGTGATATCAGATAGTGATTAATCAGGATACGATGCCAAAAACAAAAACAAAGCAACGTATTACATAAAATCCACAAGAAAAATTGAGTTTTCAAGCACAGGTTTCACTCACAATTACGGCAGGTGGTATACAGACAATTAGAGCAATGATGGAAATGTAGGCATAGACATTGGTACTATCCATATCAGTCTGCACAAAAGTTATTTAATAATAATATGAAAGAGCATTAGATAGTAAAGTAGGAGGACATATAACTGATATATAAGTAATGAAATAGAAATTTTAGATTCACACAAATTTGGATGTGTATGTATATCTGGTTAGTAAAACAAATAATTAACGTGGGTAGCATAGGAGATAACCATGGCTTTCTTTGAATAAATGCTCCGGTATGTGAAGGAAATATTTGAAATCATAGCACTTATGAAGCCAACCCAGTTGAATGAGAGCTCGGTCAAAGATGCCATGGACACACCTGTACAATACATGACATGAAAAATCATTGGGAAGAGTGTGTTTGAAAGAGAGGGGTAGAAAATGAGTTGTGAACATTTTTCCCAGATAGCTGGTAAGTGGAAACAGTTGGACAATGAATCTTATCTCAAATTAATGAACAAGATGAGTGTTACCAATAACAACGGGAGCCAGTGACAGCCACAGAGTCAAGGGGATTGATTGGCCTAGTATGAACTGTGAAGCAGCAGCATTGAAGAATGGTTCAAGAGCTGAAACAGAAGTTTATCAATGTTAGAAAGTAGATAGATAAAGTTTCAAGCATATATACAATCTCAAGTACCTCCGATTTCAGGTATATGATAAACTTTTATCACCTTTAATGGTATGAGTGAAAGAAACAGCAACTGCAGCAAATGAGACATTGCTGGTCACATGGCCTAATGCATGGCACACAGCCACCGGAATGAGCAACTTCAGTAGGTTGGAGTCTATTGGCTACAGGAACAACAGCTTTGTCAGTACACTACTTCTTATACATAGTATTAGTATTCTATGTAAAATATTTATCATGAAACTAAAATTAATGTCCCAAATATAAGTAGATTCAATGAACGGTATTAAGATGATAATCGATTAAGAGGGTCAATCAAGAAAATACAGGGAATAGAACTTAGGAGTTAGAATATTTTTTTTATGGATTCTGGGCTGAGCGATATTAAACTTGACTTACAGCACGCTTAGGAAGGCCCACGGTCCAGCTCACCAAACAGTATACCACACCCACCAATAAATGGATAACGGATACGAAGCTGCAAAAAAAGCATAGTCGATCAAAATAAAGAACTGATGTGGTACAAAAGAAACTCGGGAAGAGTTTTAATTTATAATAATAACCTTTGACTTTTTTCTATTTATCATAAACTAATATCTAATGCAGGATAGAAATTTAATTACAAATTATACATAATTAATAAAGGATTTAATTTAAACATATTACCTTATAAAAATTTAACATATATAATAAGATTATTGAGATCTTAATAATTTCCCTAAAACCATACTATTTTAAAACAGCATTATTGCGCTTAGATTAAAAAAGGGGGAAAATCCATGGAAAAGGAGCGAACGTTTTGTTTGTTTTTTTCTATTTTATTAAAAAGTAGTTAAACTTAAACTAGTCTAAATCACCAACTAGGAAGGAACTAGGTCACGAAAGTGTAAATTCTTGTCAATTTATTATTTAAAAAATTTAAACTTTTATTCATTCTATATAAATTGACCGCTAGATATTATAACTTTATAGTAATAAAATGTTCATTAATTTAATATTAAATCGGTTTTCAAAATTACAACTCAATCACAAAATATTCCGCAAAAGTATTTAATTGTTGGACATTAGAAATTAAATCATATGTTTTGGTTCATAATTTAAGAATAAAATTGACAACATCGTCACCACATTGCTTATTGACCCAATTAAAATATATTAACTTTCAGTCTTATACAATGTTTATTCTATTTTTAAAATAGATTTAAAATCAAGAGAATCTGATACAGCTTTGAGTGCAGTCCGTTCGAAAAAATTGTCATTTTAGTACAAAATATAATACTCAATAAATACGAAATCGAACTTTAATTATTAGGATATTTTGCTTAAGTTGGCGTAATTCGCTAGTAATAGACTTTAACAAAGCCAGAGACATTGTTTGCGCATATTATTTGATTGATCGACACAATCGGCGAACACTTACTATGGATAGGGGAAATAGTTGTAGATCTTCTTGTTGAGGATGTTGAAAATCACGTTCAAGAAGTACCTGCATCAGAAAACAAAAAAGGACAAAGTCGTAATTTCGCATCCAGAGCGATCACAGCCACACGAGATTCTATCTAGTAGATATCCCTCGTCCGCACAGTAAGGAAAAGGAAACGTAAGCAGAACAGAACACACGACAGAGTCAGAAGTTGCTTTCGCGTAATGAGAAGAGAGTCACGTGACGTACCACGTGAAGAAGAAAAACCCGGTGACCAAAGCTGGGTACTTGTCGAAGAATCCCGCCGGAGCAACCTTTTCTCTGTAATGAAAAAATTGAACGGCATTAGTTAGGAGAGTGACGTGACCGAGTTGGCCGAGTCAGAACGGATGAAACGGACCTCACCCGGCGGAATCACCACCCTCGGCCGGCGAGGAGGCGGCAGCCAGGCAAGGCCGGAGGAGGACGGTCTCTTTCTTCAGCGCCGGCGAGCAGAGCTCCGGACGCAGCTGCCTCCCCCAAATCAGATTCCCACCGTCCGCGAAGGACCCCACGGCCTTCACGGCGACGAAGGAGGCGCAGCCGATGGTCTCCCGGGGAGGCTTGCGGAGGTGAGGGAGGGAGGACAAGGCCCCGGCGCGTGACAGCACTCGCGACTCCATCTGAACCCGAACGAGGAGGAAGGAATGGCGAGAAAGAAAGAAGAAGAGCGTGTATGTGTGTGATATTGTTCTGGTTTTAGTACCTATGGCTCTCGTTAACCGTCTGGTTTTGTTTTTGAGGGGTTTTGATTGAATGCTTGGCAACGTAACAGTGTGCGGTGCGCGTGAATGCGTGTTTGGCGTTGATCGGTGGAGTGATGGAATGGAGGGTGGGAGATGGTGAGGAAACAGGGTGGGTTGATGGGGTGAATAAGAGGGAAATGGATAGGTGGGACCCTCTTATCTGTTGTGGAGAGATTTTTGTGTAGTGTGTAATGGATGATTGGTGGTGAATGATGGAGAGTGTGTGTGCTTGTTTTTCTTCAGATCGGGGTCGTGCCTTATCTTTCCCTCGCCTTGTAAAGTTGTGACTCAGATTCTTCAATTGCTATTGGTTTTACTGTAATTAATGTCATGATTTTCCCCATTTTCTGACCCAGACTTTTAGATTTACCCAAAGTGGGAATGTCATGGTTTTCCTTTTTGATCTCTGACTGATGCAAGCTTACTTTATGCTTATTTTCTTCGTAAATTAAACTAAAATGAGAATAGTACTATGCAAATATTTCCACGTAACTCGTAAGAACACTTGAAATCAGCAAGCTTAGCGTGTGTTTGATTAGTTGGTAGGAATCAAAGAACAACAATTCTGAATTGTGAGTGGTAAGAGAAGAAGTATTAACAAATAGGGAAATGAAATTTGAAATATCATGATAATCAATTTATTAATTTATATTTTCATAGATGTTTTAAATGATTTTTTTTTAAGTTTCATTAAAATCTATTTGAATTCATTTTTTTAGTAAAGTTTTATTTTTCTTATTGTATCTTGATTTTATTTAATGGTATTTATGTCTGCAAATTAACTTATAATAAATGAATAGTTTCTAAAAAATTAGGGATACCAATAAGTCGGTCCGTCTTATTTGAGTTCGTTTTATGTTTAATTAGCAAAAAATAAGTGAAACAGAATGGATCACAGAGGTTGAATATTGTAGTCTGTCATAAATAAGATTTAATTCATATAATAGTTTTAAAAATGTTATTCCTACATTATGGAGTAAACACATTATTTCCCATATTGTTTTCTTAAAAATTTAATTTGTAAAGATAATATATACACTTAAATTAAAAAATGTAACTATTGTAAATTTTAATTAGATATTTTTTTTATTTGATGAGTTTAGTTTTTAGTTTCATAATTTATCTACTTTTCTTCGACATTTATTTGAATAATCAATATGGAAATTTATATAGTGTAAAATTGCTTTTTAAATTAAATAAAAAAAAAGTAAAGTCAAACCATATCATTGACGACCCAACATTAATAAATAATTATGTACTAACTGAATCTTGACACTAAAAATAAAATAAAATAAATAAAGAGGAATCATAAGTGAATTAGAGTACATATTATAAAATTTGTAAATAATCTATTAATTTAAAAATTTTTAAAAAATTTTATGTGGTCGGTTAATCAGTCCTTCAATTTGACCCACATTGACTACAACTTATGTAATACAAGCTAAATAAACTACAAGTTGAAATATGTAATCCATCATAAATTTTTTATAACAAACTTCTTCCTTCATTTTCACCCCTAATAACACATTATAAAAAAATTAAAAAATTCACTAAATTATAACTATTTAAGCTATTTATAGTCATTTTCTTTTTTAGTTTTTTTAATTTATTTTATTTTATCTTAATTGTTATGTATACATTCAATCTAATGATATCATTTACACATTTATATTTTTTTATGTTGAGGTTTATACTACTTTTTTTATAAATAATATTTGATATATAAAATTTTAAAAATATTTATGCAAAATAATATATATTATTTAATATATTATATTTAAAAATAACATTAGAATATATATATATATATATATATATATATACTATTTTAAAAAATAACATTTTAAAAATAATAAATTAAATTATATTTATAAATATATTTTTATATGAAATTACTAATTAATTTTCTTTAATAAATAACAAAATTAAGTTTTTATAGTCTTTTTATACATTAAATAATGTTTAGTAGATTGAGATGTAGTCTTCCTTTTAAAACATAATATTTTTCTTCAGGTTTGAGGTGTATTCTTGAGTAAAATTGTTTGATGGACGGAATATGTCCGAAAAGATATTTCAATGTTAAGTTAGATAGAGTATAAATGATGTAATAATTAACGATTTATACCTTGTGAAATAGGTAATTTGATCAACTAATATTTTTTGGACCTTTAATGTGTGTAATCAACTTAGTTAGCATAATTGATTGATTATTTATTTTAATTAATTTGTTAAGTGGTGTTCGATAGTCTTTAAGAAATAATAAACTTAATATTTACGATATTCTTGAAATTTTATTGTTTTTATTAAAATAAATTAAACTAAATTGATATGATATTTTAGTGGTTCAATTTTGAATTCAAAAATATAAATTATTTTCAAACTATAATTATATTTATAAATCAATTTTAAATTACTTTTAAACTAAATAACTTTAAATATTTTTTTTAAATAAATATAATTTCGATCGGTATATATTGAATTATTATTAAGAGAATTTTCATAATGTTTATTATTCTGCACTGTTTTAAGGTAAGGGTACCGTGAATTCAAAAAATAAAATTATTAATTATTTAGATATGTAATCATCAAAAATGAGTAATCACTTATGAACATTATCAAGTGATTACAACGAGATATATCCATCGGTAAATTAACAATTAGTTATCGAAGTAAATTAATAATTAGTTATCGACAAAGATAAATATTTAAAATATATAAATATATAAGTATATAAATATATTTGTATTTATATATTTTATATCTATATATATATATATATATATATATATATATTCGGATATATATTTATTTATATATAATTATAAATTATTTGTAAGTTATTATCTATAAATCGTAGTAGCTTAGTAGTTGTATCGGTCTTCAATTCTAAGATATTAGGTTTGAATTCTACCAAGTAACAATTCTCTTAATAAATAATAATTTAAAATGTAATAAATAATAAAAATATAGTATAAAGGGGAGGGAGACCTCTAGATATATATTACCGTCGGACTATTCAAATTCGTCGATGGTCTTAACACTTATACCATCTGAAGAGATAGATTCGAGATTCAAACTGTTTTAGTTGGTTTTCATTTGCATTTGCATAACATAAATTCTCTATATTGAGGATAATGTTTCATTCATATTTTTTGTTTAAAATTATTGTGTAATATTGTAGATTGATGGGAGACTACTTTCGAAAAGATGACCAATTTGATCAGAAGGAGGAAAAATTTAAAGTTTGAAAGGTTTGTAAGGGTAGTGTGAATTAAATTTTTTTTTATTAATTATCGATAGATATGTAGCATTAAAAAATGAGTAATTACTGATCGAAAATTATCAAGTGATTACCAACGAAAATTACCGATAGATATATTCGATCGGTAAATTAACAATTAGTTACATGATGTATATATTGGTAAATTAATAATTAATTACTTGAAGAATTTATCGATCGGATATATCCGATCGATAAATATTTAAAATATATAAATATTTAAAATATGTAAATATATAAATATGTAAATATATAAGTATATAAGTATATAAATATATAAATATATCAAAATATATAAATATATTTGTATTTATATATTTTATATCTATATATTTATACGGATATACATTTACTTATATATAATTATAAATTATTTGTAAGTTATTATCTAAAAATCGTAGTAGCTTAGTAGTGGTAGCCTTTAATTCTAATATATTAGGTTCGAATTGTGCCAAGAATAATTCTCTTAATAAATAATAATTTAAAATGTAATAAATAATAAAAATATAGTACAAAGGGGAGGGAGACCTCTAGATATATATTACCGTCGGACTATTCAAATCCGTCGATGGTCTCAACATTTATACCATCTAAAGAGATAGATTCAAGATTCAAATTGTTTTAGTTGATTTTTATTTGCATTTACATAACATAAATTCTCTACATTTAGGACAATGTTTCATTCACATATTTGCATAACATAAATTCTCTACATTGAGGACAATGTTTCATTCATATTTTTTGTTTTAATTATTGTGTATTATTGTAGATTGATGGGAGACTACTTTCGAAAAGATGACCAACTTGATCAGGAGGAGGAAGAATTTAAAGTTTGAAAGGTTTGATTCACAAAGGAAGTCGTGGTGGGGTTACATTAACATTGATTTAAATTAATATTAGGATGAACAAAACACTCAGGTCAGTTTTGAGTTTTATTCCTTCTTGTGTGCGTCACTCATTACATGAGAACCTTCTAGAGTTTGATTGATATTTATGTGACACCAAACGAGCTTATACACCAGTAGAAATGATTTAAGCATTCTTTGTCTTAGCCAAATAACCTACCCTTACCTCAAAGTATCAAGAAAAAGAAAAAAAAAATCATTTTGTGTGTGTTTCAAAGCAATAAAAAAACTCTAAAGACACACTAAAATAAAGGTGATAAAATAGAAAGATACAACTAGAATAAAACTTCAAGGTATATTGATCCATGTTCTTTATTTTCTTAAAATTTTAGCCCACTTTCCTAAAATAACCTACCCTGAACCCTAGTCTCATTGTAAGCCAAGTAATAGTCTTATTGATCTGCAGAGGTATGTATTTTAATAGTGGGAATTTAAAGATCTTTTAAGGATATGACAAAGGATAATGTCATGATGTGATGATGAACGGAATTTTCAGCATAAACACTTGAGATATTAGAGTAAACATTTTACCACAGGATGTTCCCTTAAAATGAATACAAAACATTTAAAGAGTATTTGACCATGACAATACTTTGTAAGTTATGATCTTAATCTTTTTTATTCTCTCACTTTTGGTTGATGAAGTTTTTCTTAACTATTGTAGTTTTTAGGATGTCACTAACATTGTAACAATATCCATTTTTGCATTGCATGTATGCATTCTTTTCTTTTCTTTTATCTTTTGCTTTGAAGTGCAAAAGAGCAAAAGTGAGGAGTATTTGATGTATGTCATTTTACTCTTTATATTTTTTGGCTAAGAGCATTTTCTAAGTTAATTATTTTCTTCATAAATCATGCATTTGTTTTCATAAAAACATGTCATAATTCAATTTTTCTTAATTTATTATATTTTACATAGTTTTAGCATAATAAATAATATACATGCATACATCCATAATGCATAGTTCTTTTTCTTCTTTTGTAGGAGAGATAATTTGAG